CACTAAGAGGTCATCAAGAGGGCTGGCCATGCTTTGCTTGCAGCTGAATGACTGACTGCCCACCTGTTTTTATTTTAACTGTGGTAGATTACAAGGTAGGAAACTTAAATATAGCAGTACAAAAAACATTATTAGAGTGACTCACCAACAGCTTTCTCTTCCAGAGCCAAGAACACAGTTTCATGTAGATCATGCACTTCCAAGGAGTTTTTAGAAGAAGTTTGTTGAAGTACATAATTCTTGAAGCCTATAAATATTGGGAGGGAGATGTTAACTGTTTCTGCTGTTCGTGCATTCATAGCATGTCCAGACTTTTTTGATTGCTTTTGAAAACGTTGTTTGTAGCCATACTGATCCAAAATCCAAAGACAAACCACAGTCCACATAATACCTTTATCAAGATCAGCTACAATGACACAGAAGTGTGTCTGAGATTAAAAAATAAAAATGGAAATAGGGAAGAAAAAGATACAATTTCTCTACAGGGGCTAGTGTATACATTGGTGCTTTTGATGTAGGTTGCACTGCAGTCCTTCTGGACTGGTGAGGAGAAGAAATGATAATCCTCCACTGGAATTACAAAAACCGACTGTCTTCCTTTAATCTGATTACTTTTTTAAAAAGGATTTTATTATTTAAAACATTCTTATGCTGCTTTTCTACCTCCATAGGGCCCCCATAGGAACTATAAAGTTGCTTGATAAGTTTATTCTTTAATTTGGTGGGTTTTAGGCTGTTCAAAGATGTTGGTGGGTTCCAGTAGGCAGTTGAACAGCTCACTAAGACTTCCTGTTTTTAAGGTGTTAGAGACTGACGTGTCCCTTAAAAAATCCAGCCTTTAGTGTTCAACCTCTGGAGGGTCAGTGTTAAATGATTAACTTTTCAGTCATCTCCCTGCCATGTGATCTTTGGTCTCAGGTCTTCTGTGGTCCTGTAAATTTTGATGTCAAAGCTATAGACTGCAAAGTGCTTCCACCCTTTTTTGGATTTACTTGTTCCATTATTCTGGGAGAAGTGGATTTTACTCAGTCTTTGCATCTCAGTGAATCTTAGCTTGGAGCAAACAGTAACTTTATATTCTGCCAGTGCCTAGTTAAAACTCAAGCATTATTTCAACAAAAATGTCTGAATTAGCACATCCTCACTTCAAGAAACTGAAACCACCACATAAGCTGCTCTTGGCTTCAGGGTTCTGTGATGATATCGCTGTTCAAGCAGTAGTTTGGGAAGTCTTTCAGGTGGAATTCAAAGAATGCTTTTCTCCTAGAAATAAAACAATGGCTAATGTAGAATCTTCTCTTTCAAATAAAAAGCAATTAACTAAATATCTTGGCTTTCAAGTTTTATGAAGTTACTGTCACAGGTTAATAGATGGGTCATCTGGCCAGACGCCCAAGATGCTTAAGAAACAAATTCTCAGTGCTTATTGCTTTGTCCACTTTGGAAATAAAAGTTCTGATTTCCAGAAAGTATCTTAGTACTGTCTTGAAATAAGCATATAATTGAACATAAGATATTTCTTCTGTTATCATTCCCCATTGTCAGTGGTTTTCTATTTCATTGAGTGCTCGTACAGAACTCTTAAGAGATTTGTATGTGATATGACATAGTAGACATTAGCTTTTAGACCAATTTTAAAATAGCTCCCTCTATTCTCATTGACCATCCAATAAAAATCTGGAATATATGTGGCTAAGTTTTAAGCAGAACCAATATCCCCAGAATTATTTTATATTTTTTTGAGTTGTTATTATTACTGTTCAGCTTACCGTAAGTCTTCAATTTTTAACCTTTACACAGAAGCAGTGTTCAGTTTTAGAATCCATATTTCATGGGAAGTGGAATCAGAATTGCACCTACCTTCTCTACTCAAGTTGGGTTTGTGGCATGTATGTACAAATCTAATAATGAGCAATCTTTACTACTCTACTGTTGTTGCCAAGTGAAGAACACAAATTATGACCCTAGCCTCTATCCATGTATGTATCAGTTACGCAGCATCCCTCCAACATCAGGGACCTTGTTCATGGAAACTTGTGAAGTAGAGGGGAGGGGCTGGGGGCAGGGAAGAGATGACAGGAGATTCATCTTCCCTAATTGTGTGCATGTACATTACATGAAAGTAGAACAGGAGGAACCAAAAAAAATCATCTTTCTGCCCTTTCTTTGCTCCCACTGCAATTTCATGTGATTCATCTCTCATGCAGCTCTCTTAATGAAAGAAAATCATATGACCTATTGGCAAATGCCAATAAAGGAGAAATTAATGAGGGAAGTCCTATTGTTTCAGTTATTCATAATAATAAAGTTCATTTAAAATAGAAATAGAAATCTGTAATTGATATTTTGATTATGAATGTGCCATTCTGAATTTTGTATCAGTAGTATGTGAGAAGCCTTGCTTTCTTGGTGGGATGGGATTGTAGGGTCCTGCCCATTGAGTCTATATGTATTGTACTGAAATTTTACTTTTGATTCTATTTTCATAGAGCATAAGGTTATAACAGTACCACAATTTTTGCTCAGATAATTATTGCTAGAAACTAGAAAATTTAATGATTACATTATTCAGGTGTTCAGCAGATAATTAGAAAGAGTTAACAGTAAACTCAGTCCAAAAATTAGGAATTGGTTTTGCATTGTGCCATTAAGGAACTGAAATTTGGCTAGTGTTGGGGGTTTTAGTTGCAAGCACTGGACAAAAAATTTCCATAGCTTATTAAGAAGCAAAAGACTGAAAACTTTGTGGTCATTTGCCCCAGGTGCTGTGCACTTGTTTGTCTTGAAAATAGGGAGAAGTCTAAGGTTCAAACTAGATGTTATGAGAATTCATGTGTCCAGTGATCATGTCTAAATCATGTATCCGCTGATCATATCTAAAGTGGGATTCATAGGCTCTGTTATTTTACAAAGTAAACTCACGCATATGGGAGAGGAGAGCTATATGGCCACCTCCTTACCTTGCTGTACTCACTCCATTGAAAGATTGTTCTCTCAGTCTAGTACCAATACTAGAAGTGAGCTAGAGGGTAACAGTAATGTGTTGAGGAAAAGCTGGCAAACAGGCAGAGAAAGGGGGGGAAACCTGCTGAAAGTAATGGAGCATAGCAAGACTGGGGAAGGGATAGGGCTTAGGTCCATTTGCTTCTATACTTCATTTTCAGTGTGTGTGTTGTTGTTTTTTTAAAGACCCATGAGGATTGTCCCCCCCCCCCCAAGTCTAGTGTGGTCCTGGAGGTTAAGGGTCCTGCACTTTCATACATGTAGATGAACGATATGGACTCACAGCTGCAGAGATTCAATCTCTGGGAACTTCTTAAACATTATGGCTGCTTGATTGGGAGAGTTTTAAGCTTGCTTCACTAAACCGGAGGGCTTGTTAACAATGCACACCTAAAAATTAAAGTGTTAATGAGGCTAATGCATGTTTGAAAACGTGTATTTGTAGAAGTTTCGTTGTTCAGGAGCTGGGATAGGCTTTTACTCCCTGTTTGTGTTTTTATATCCTCACTTCAGTGTTGCCAACCCAGGTCCTTAGCAAGAAGAGAAAGTGGCTGCTGTGCTCTTCTTTTAGACTTAATTATGTGAATAGGGGACATTTGCATTTATGTTGTAACCACCGGAAAAACCTGTCTAATATCGAGAAGAAATGACAGCAGCCATTGTATGGTGGGAGGGAGAACTGCGGATTCACAAGCATAGTATTTATGAATTATTGATTGGTATGACAGATCTTGGTTTACGATGGCCAGGTTGCTTGGCTTGCCTGACAAAGGGCAGAAGGGAAGAAGAGGCTGCCTGTTGAACTGGTATCATGATGGAGAGCAGATCACAGTTTGAAGCTGCAGAAATTAAACCTCTACATTCAAGTCTAGTTTTCATTTTAAGACCATGGGGGGGGGGGAGCAGCAGGAAATGGATCAAAGAAGGAACAAGACTCAATTAAAGGGGCTAGCAAACCATCCTCTGCCTATCCTGTGCTCACTTTGAACACTAACCGGTGCATCCGACCATGCAGAAGCAGTGCTCACGCAGCACTGGGGCATGTGTGTGTATGTATAACAGCAAACAGATTCATGGAAGAATGATTTAAGGTTACAGCTACCTGGCATAGGGATAAAGAACAAAATCTTTTTGATCACAATGTTATATCATTATCATGACAACTCCAAAAATTGCTTACCTGGAAAAGTAATATTAGAAAACAGATGTATATTTAGTAGTCTTGATGCTAAGCAGCAGCTGGGGGGGGGGGAAGCAGGCAGCCAGCTCAAATGATCAGCCAGCTCCTTGGATCACCAACTTGGTTATCATTTAGAATTGTTCTTCTTCTTCTTTTTTTTAAAGGGAAAATCCCAGTGTCGTGGAAAACTGAATATAAGATACACATGCTATAATAATAGGAGAGATCTTCTTGATACCTAAAGCTAGTAAAAGGATTTTTGTTTTAATTGTAGCCTTATTAGAGACCTGAAGTTAATTTGAATATCATTGTGAGCTGCTGCTCTATAGCACACGTCACAAATATTTCAACAGCATGTAAAACACATTAGTTGTCAATGAAATGTTTACTCCAACATATGTTTGCTTCCAAAGTCCATTAAATCTCCTTGTTGAACTTGCACTTGGAAGCCTTTGTGTCCCCTTACTTGCGGAAAGCATTGCAGAAATCAAAATATATCCATTGTAACCTTTTAAAGCCCTAAGTGGTATGGTTTGGATGAAGGGTATTCCATAAGGACTGCTTGATTTTTATATTTGTGCACACTCACCTTCCATTTTTTGAAATGTTAATATTTTTATTTAATTATTCTATTGGTAGTTGATCTTAGCTGTGTATGATGGTTCTGTTAGGCATGACATGCTAGTGGGATATGAATGACTAATTTTTCATTATGTATAATTTCTCTGGGCTCAGAACACAGTATGATTGCACTTTTCTTTTTGATTTAATCAGGTTACTTGTCTTAAAATGTCTTCTTCCTGTCTTTGAAATGTAGGTAATCTAATCCATGGGGAAAGTGGGGAAGATGTGGAACAGCTTCAAATATAGATGCCAGAATCTCTTTAATCCTGAGAGTGGAAACCGGAATGAAAATGTAGATGTGAACCCCAATAGTTCATCAGTTAAAGATAAAAGTGTATTTGTACCTGATACCTCTCAGCAGCAACCAAGCAGCCCTTTAAGAGATGTCTCTTTACAACTGAGTCTAAATCCTTCGAGTAATTCTTCAAGAAAAAATCAAAACTGTGCCACTGAAATCCCACAGATTGTAGAAATAAGCATTGAGAAAGAAAATGATTTGGGTGTTGCCACCGGAACTAAACTTGCACGGAGGGATTCTTACTCACGGCATGCACCGTGGGGGGGGGAAAAGAAGCATTCCTGCTCTACAAAAACACAGACCTCTTTGGAGAATGATAAAAGGTTTGGCCGTTCACGCTTGCAAAGGAGGGAGAGGAGATATGGTGTGAGCTCAGTTCATGACACCGATAGTGTCTCAAGCAGGACCCTGGGGAGCCGTTCTTTGCGGCAGAGACTGCAGGACACTGTTGGCTTATGCTTTCCTGTTAGAGCTTACAGCAAACAATCCAAACCTCTCTTCTCTAATAAAAGAAAGATCCATCTTTCTGAACTAATGCTAGAAAAATGCCCTTTCCCTGCTGGATCAGATCTAGCTCAAAAATGGCATCTAATTAAGCAGCACACAGCCCCAGTGAGCCCACATTCAGCTCTTTTTGATGCATTTGATCCTTCTGTGGCTTCTACAGAAGATGAAGAAGATAGGCTTAGAGAGAGACGAAGGCTCAGTATTGAGGAAGGGGTTGATCCTCCTCCTAATGCTCAGATACATACTTTTGAAGCTACAGCACAAGTTAACCCATTATATAAACTGGGGCCAAAGCTGGCCCCTGGCATGTCTGAGCTAACTGGAGACTGTAACTCAGCATCACAGGGAAGTTGCGACCTGGAGGAAGACACCACAACCCTGTGCTTGCAATCGCGCAGACAAAAGCAACGGCAGATGTCTGGAGACAGCCACATCAGCAGACAAGGAGCTTGGAAAGTACATACTCAGATTGATTACATACACTGCCTTGTGCCAGATTTACTGCAAATTACTGGTAATCCATGTTACTGGGGTGTAATGGACCGCTATGAAGCTGAAGCACTTCTGGAAGGAAAACCTGAAGGCACTTTTTTGCTCAGGGACTCTGCTCAAGAAGACTACCTCTTCTCTGTGAGCTTCCGCCGTTACAACCGGTCTCTACATGCACGCATTGAGCAATGGAACCACAACTTCAGTTTTGATGCTCACGATCCTTGTGTGTTTCACTCCTCCACTGTTACTGGACTCCTAGAACACTACAAAGACCCCAGCTCTTGCATGTTTTTTGAACCCTTGCTTACTGTTTCTCTAAACAGGACATTCCCTTTTAGTTTGCAGTATATCTGCCGGGCAGTAATCTGCAGGTACACTACGTATGATGGGATTGATTGTCTCCCTTTGCCAGCGATGTTGCAGGACTTCTTAAAGGAATATCACTATAAGCAAAAAGTTCGGGTGCGATGGTTGGAGCGGGAACCAATTAAGACAAAATGAATGGACTTCAGTCCCTTGTAAGCTCCCTGGAATCTGTGCTTTTTTGTTTTATTTTTGAAGAGGGGTGCATTACAGTATAACTGCAGTAAGCACATCAGTGTTCAGTGCTTTGGGGGAGAATATTGTACTTTTAAGCATAGTTTTTAAGATTGTCAGATGCTGCCTGTTATTAATCAAGCCTAGTTGTGAATACCTCTTGAAACAATATGCAGAACACAAAATACTATGTTTTTAAACGTAAACATTTTAGATTATGATTTGCCAATTCCTAGATGTATTCTTTTTATGACAGTTGCTGTAGTTAGTGAGGCAGCTATTGGGCACCGACATGTTCCATTCAATTTCAGGACGCAGAACACTGTTGGAGCACTAGGATACCAGCAGTTATGTTCCAATCTAGCTGCTTTTTTCAGCAGAAATTGTCTTTTCAAAATTCAGTTCTTTCTCCTATGCCAGTTTTCAGATTAAAGCAGATTAAAGATGAAAAAAACATGAGCAGCAAGGTATCTTGCATTTAAATGGGGGGGGGGGATCTATTGCTTGCTAACAAGCACTTTGAATACGTTTAGCTCTCTTTAAAACCAAAGTTTTGCTGTCACCTGAATAATATATTTTAACCATTCAGAAGCACGTAGTGCAATAATTTAATCAGTGAAATACACAAAAACCTTGCTTATGAATAAAATTATTCTTAAAGTAAAAGCACCTTTGAAGAGCTTGAGATGGAAAAGTGGGAATGGCTCTGCTAGAGTGGTGTCTTGACTCCTCCAATCTGTATGCAATACTTGCACTATAAAGTAACTTCTTAAAAATCTGCTGAATTAATCATGGCCATTTTATTAGTCTGTCAAGACAATTAGTTGCCTGAACAATGCACCCCTGGGTTTAAATAATATTTTTAGCAAATTTAGTTCAGTTACATTTTTAAAGTAACTGCTTACTAACCTAGCTCTTCTGTTGGGTTTAGCTGTTAAACTGAATTTTGCTTAAGGTGGCCAGATTGGAACTTTATATTAGCTAATTTTGAATGGTTCGAACAGTATTCTAATTCTCTACTAAAAACTATAACAGTCACCTGTCTTGGCCAGCTCCTTTAATTATGATTCCAAGCTGTTAGACAGTAAAAATTCTGTCCTACTTTTCTTCTTCCCCTTTCGCCACCCTTTGCAGTGCATCAGAACTAAAGTTTCGTGCTTCATAGGTACTGTTGTGTTTGTAAACTGTGTAGCACTTTCTTTGTAATATGTAGGTTGTGTGCTCTTTGAGCAAAATGCTTTGAGATTAGCTCTGTTTTGCTTCCTTTTTTTGCTCTCGGACATAATGCAATCTGTTTTGTCCTAGCTGTGTTTGCACTAAAACTTACATTGGAGTATGGAGTCCCTTGTTCTTGCTTATGTATTTTGTATCAATGAGTAGGACTCCCTAGTTACTTAACCATTTGCTACAGTATGTTCTTATGTCTCCATGGCAGTGACTGTGAGGTAGGGAATCTCTGCAGCTAAATATATGAGAAGTTTTACTTGTACACCCACACTAACCAGTTTATCAATGTGTATTTCTCCCCCATTCCTGCTTGCTGTGCCTTGTTACAGCTGTTTTGTGCTAATAAAGTACAGAATTTTCAGTGTTATACTTGTATATTTGCTCTTTTCTATTTGATAACTTGTAGCAGTTAAGTTTTTAGCTTTCATTTAGTGTAGTTAGTACAAATGCTGTGCAGTTGGGTAGTTGTGTATCAGGTCACCATATCTTAGTATAAATGCAGCTTTCCAGAACCCTCAATCCAGGCACTTCTAAGCTGTCAGGGCCATTTCATGCAAACTCAAGTTTGTCATAGGATATACGCTCAACAGAGCTAGAGTCTATCATAGCTCTTTGGCAGATGTACCTGTGAGGGATGCTTTCTGTCACATTTGAACATATTGCATCTTTAGATGTACACTTAAAATGTTTTACATGTGCACCAAAAATGTAATGACTGAAGTAGCCCTCCGTAACATTGCAAAGCCATGGAATGTCTGCAGCTATACAGAAACAAATAATGGTATACTCTGTCTGTTGTATGTGCTTAATTAATGACCACTTCAACCATGACAAGCTTCACACATGGAAATTTTTTCTGGTTCATAAATGGTGTGAAAAATCATGCATGGTTTTGTGTACACAGTAGAAGGGACCTCTGTGTGATTATTACCTTGTTATCCATATAACTTGTTTCTGATAAAATATCTAGGTTTACAATTTATATAGTTCTATAAACTGTCAAAAGACACATTCAGCTGAACCAGTTGTGTGTTCAGTAGTTTTGAACGAGTGCATCTTAATTTTAATTTCTTCTGTTTATAACCCCCCCCCAAATTATTATAGATTATGTTTGGAAAGTTTGTACACAAATTTGTCATGTTTGAAGTTATCCTATGGTTATTCTGTATAAAATGAGCTAGTTGTTGCTCTGTATGGCAGTAACAAAGGGTATTGCATATACATTAAATCTTGAGGCAAAAAAATTGTTTTGCACTAGTAAGTGTGGTGTAAGAGTGCATTGAATCAACAACCAAAGGTCAGTGATAGAAAATAAGAATAAAGGTTTTTAAAATATGTGGCTTCAACCAACTTTTATAGTAGATCACTAAACTGGCTTCATGTTTTAATATGGTCCATTGCATTTGATGTTGCTGTTTATGATATTGTAATGGTAAAATGAAAATTATAGTCCATTCAGATACTAGTTTAGTTTCTGATGTCTGAAATGCACCTAAATGTGAGCTCTGGTCCAGACGCTCACTGAAGAGCAATCTTCCCTTATTGGGTAGAAGAGCAACCATTTGTCCTTTCTTCAAATACATGCAATTTAATGCAAGGCAGGTATACCAACTTCTGGCCTGGATGCATCGGTTTATAGATTCACACCATTTTCTCTCAAGGAAGAGGGGGAAGATGCTGTTTATCAGACCATTTAAGCTGTAGGAGACTCCTATATTGCCTGCCTTGTATTATATACATGTGGGGAGGAGAAGGGGGCATGTTTTTGCTTTTATACCTCACACAGGGGTTGGGAGCGCTGCCTCTTAGTTGTCTGACCCTAGCTGGAGATGCTTACCAAAGAGTGTGCAAAAGGATGTATAATCCAAACTAAAATTATTAAACCAAAGTACCTTATTTGAATATAATATGCAGTTTTAAAGATCATGAAAATGCATATAACTAGCAGCAGTTACTCTTAAATTTTTAGATGCAGTGTAGACCAAACATACAGAATTGTTCAAATTCTTCTGCTTTATATTCGGAAGAATGCTGTACATTGGAAAGCTATGGAAGGAGTTAATGTAGACTCCCAGAAAGCACTTTAAAATTTATGGGGTTTGGGGAGGGGGTTGTTTTGAAAACTAGGATAGGGTGGAAAAATATTTCAACTTCTTAGGAGCTGGCAGCAAAGATTAATGATGTTCAGGTACCTATGATATTATTAGCTCAGCATTAATTGATGTATCAAATATGCTTTCAGATGTTACCAGTATTCCAATGTTGAATCTCTGATGTTTTGTTCTTCTACAAGTTCTTCTCACTAATGTTAAATGTCAGCATGTGATAACTGTTGGGTTTATGTGTGAGTATGTGTAAATGAATATGCAACTTTTTGGTTTATAACTCTAAAACTAGCTGCTTACATTAAAAAAAGTCACCAGCATGAAATTGTGCCCAAGTGTACCTTCCGTATTTCTTCATACTTCATCAGTTGGTGTTGGAATCTACATGGTTTTTACTGTTGTGAATGTGTACTTCGTGTGAATTCCTTCAAAGTCTTTGAAATCAGGGGCCTGGTCTTTATGCTACAGGAAATATTGTAAAGTGCCATTCACTTTCAGTGAAATAATTGCACTTAATGTGTGTGAGAATCTTTCAGAATGTCATCTACTGTAATACTTATGCTTAACCCAATAGTCTTCATATGAATTAATAGATAGCTTTGAAGGGTCACAGCAATACACTTGGTCAGTGTCAACTTATGGGGGTGGGTGAATTTTGCAGCAGACATAACTTGAAGTGCCAGCATGGAAACTGCAACAAGGTAAGGAGTGTGAATATGTGAGCTTGTGGGCCAAGCAGTTCTCCCCCGTCTTCACCACCTTCTTTCCTGGTTGTCATGTTTTAAGAGAGAGATGTTATGTGCTAGTTCTGTTCTAATATCAGTGTTTGATTAATGTCCCAGTCCACAGATCCCTTACATGCAGTGCTGTGTTAGTTCTTTGTGGTTACCTGCCCAACAGTGCTTTTGATGGGTTGGGTGGTAGTCTCTGCTTTTAAGAAGGGGACCTGAGCTCAGCGAATGGCTTAGCCATTACTGTACTCAATACAGATGTGGTTAATTTTTGTTGGTTTCTTTTTGGTGCTATGCTGCAAATTTTGTAAGACCTTGGTTTAATGCAATTTGTAGAGGAACCTTCCCATCTCAGAAAATGAAAACAACTATTTCTGTGCAAACCATTTGAAATAAATTTCGATTTGCTGTATAGAAGTATTCTGTGAATAAGCTTTTGGTAGCTTTATGGTTCCCTTTGTTGTTTTGAAGCAAAACACACCTCACCTTGCTCCCCAAGGTAGCGAGATGGCCATTACTATTATCTTAGTAGAATTTTTGCTGCTGTATTTTATCTGCAGCAACTTGGGGGAGTAGAGTTAAGAAACTATATTTCATTTTGGAGAAGTTTAAAATTAGCCAAATTCTTTAGACTTTGGCCAGGAGGTTACTTTGCTTACCAGTTCTCTGTGCGTAGGAAACACATGTGACCTGTCTGAGATGGGTTTGGGAATGCTACAAAATAAATTGACATCTTGATTATACAGATTATATATTTAAAACAAATTTGAGGCAAATATGACCTGGCAAATATGATTCCTTTTGAGACATGCTTCTTGCTGCAGGTAAGAAGGTGAGCCATGAATGTTAAGATCCATTAGGACAAATTAATTGCTGTAGCAATCTAGAAGAAGAATTCCCCTCTATATATTGCCTTGGTGCTGTGGGGTGGGGTTTTTAAGCCCTCAAAACAGTAATATTAAGGTATAGAAACAAGTTGGATCTGTAATACAACAATGTTTGACTTCTGAATTTTTCAGCTGATGAAAGTACTTGTTTTGTTAGATGTAGGAGATACACCAGTTCTTGTGAAAGGCTGTCATTTATTTTACATCAGAAAAGAGCAAGAGTCTAGTAGCACCTTAAAAACTAACAAAATATGTGGCAAGGTATGAGCTTTCGTAAGTCACTGCTCACTTCCTCAAATACAGCTAGAATTGGGAGTCCATCTGTCCTATTTATTGGAAAGATTTCATATGCCGAATGACATTAGTGGGCAAATGACAATAGCACTCCACCCTTCCATCGTCTACATTGGACAAACAGGCCAGTCCCTTCAACAAAGAATTAATGGACATAAATCTGACCTTAGGAATCACAATATTCAAAAACCAGTGAGGGAACATTTTAACCTTCCAGGACATTCAGTTGCTGACCTAAAAGTAGCAGTTCTCTTACAAAGGAATTTCAAAGGGAGATTAGAGAGACTGCTGAATTGCAACTGATAATGAAGCTCAAGGCAATGCATCCACCTGGATTGAATTGAGACCTAGGTTTGCTGTCTCATTACCAATGTTGATTTCTCCTCACCTAATACCCCTCTGCATCTCAACTAAATCCAATCACACCTGCTGCTGTCTTTCACCTGCTATTGTCATTTACCTGCTAATGTCATTCGGCATCTGAAATCACTTTCCAATAAATAGGATAGATGGACTCCCATTCTAGCTGTATCTGAAGAAGTGAGCAGTGACTCACGAAAGCTCATACCCTGCCACATATTTTGTCAATCTTTAAGGTGCTACTGAACTCTTGCTCTTTTCTAC